AGGGCTGTCCGCTGGTTTCGCGGCCAGCCCAGATGAACTGTTGAAACTCCGTTCACCTTTAGCAGGAAGGAGCCCGCACCTTTCTGCAGTACCTCCTGTGCCCCGTTACGTAATGCAAAGCCTCGACTGATCCCTTTCCCCAGATGCCAACTCTGTTTCTGCTGGCACAGTGCCCACACAGGAGAAGGAATTTTCTCAATTTCCTTCAAAGAGGCCAAGCTGTTTGAGTCATTTGAGATCACACATAGGTTAGGTTCGGTTATTACAAATGGGAAACTGGCAAACGACAGAAAGCGCGTCTGTTTTAAACACAAAATGCTGCCCGTAAGGTTACATGTACGGAATTTATTCCAGATGCTCTTGTTCCATTTGGTCTCTTCGTTGCTTTACTTCTCGGTGACGTCCCTGTTGTTCAACCAATTTAAATCTCACCTCATCACTCCGTTGCGGTTGCTCTGTGCTGAAGGCCAGGCCTGCATTGCAGGGGGGTAAATGAGTTTGCTGCACGGTGTCTGGGTGTGACTGGGGGTGGGAGGAGGAGAAGTCTCGCCAAGGTCAGGAAAAACTCCCCTCCCCTTACGCGAGCAGACACGTTCTTCCCGCGTGAGGCCACCGCACAAGCGGGTGGGTGCAGGCGCCTGCCAGGCCCTCAGCACGGGCAGCAGCGACCGCGGGCAGCGCAGGGCACGGAGCGGGACTCGGCATCGGGGGTTTCACTCGGCCCCCCCAGCCTCTCTGGGCTTGGAGCCACTTAGCTCTGGAAGTGGCCTATGAAGCCTCAGGGTCAGCACGGAAAACCTGGCGGGTTTCTTTACTCTTCTAGTGTGGTTTTCTGGACTAGCGTGAGCCAGCCGTGACAGCACGCTTTGGCTTAATGGTTCCATGGGTGGCTGGTCAGGTTTTTTAAACCCAGTCGGTATTTGCCAGTATATGCCCGGATTTTGTTAATAATTTTAAAGTAATTAAAACCCACTAACTCTTGTCTGGAAAACTATATATATCAAGGTGCATTAACTTAACAAAACATCTTGCCACTTCTATAAACATCTTGTTTTAAATGTTCTGGTTTCCAACAGATTACATTACGCAGCTTTTTTGAGTTGTTTTTATCCAAAGCTTTGAATCATGGTAGCAGAAAATAAATGTATTTTTGCTTTCTGCTTTTCATACACAATACAGTGAGGTTTCCAAAATATGCAGTCTAGAAGTAATTGTGCTCACTAGACAAATATTAAATAGTTTCTTTTGCATCTATGGCACTTCAGCTTTGAGTGTAGCAAGTAAAAGATTAAATAATTTGTACTGGAATAAAAGAAATATTCCCTCTTTACTTCTCTTTAATAGATCCTTGGAATATACTAACAATACTTGTGTTTGTATGAGTGTCTGGGAAAGAGCTGTGAGAATCACGTTTCCCAGACTGTGTAGAAAAAGAAAAGAATTTGCTAAATATATTTAAAGATGGCTTCATGACTCGTACACTTAACAGAACTGTAAGCCCTGTGTTTAATTACGTTGTCTGGAATCGCTAAAGGAATTTGGGCTGTGAAATGGTGAAATGGAATGAACAACATTCATCCCCTTTTATGTGAAGTTTGGTTGAAGACCCTGGGGCACGACCAAGGTACCACAATGATATACAGACTAAATTTTTGTTTGCCTATAGAGTATTTTAATTCCTGACATAGTATTTCTGATCATACCATGCTCTGCTGTAAACACAAGCCATGGCCAGCCAGTTCTCACGCGTCAGAATCAATTTGGGTAAATGTACTTAATTCCTCAGCATACAGGTAGCAGCAACGTAAATAACTAATACTAATTTCTTCCTTTCCTTGTTTTTTTTTTTTAAAAAAAAGGCCCAGTAACGTGGTGGCCAAACTCGCCTGTGTCTTCACCAAGTGTCCCCTAAAGCAGGGTGTGCTCTTGTGGGAGAAGCATGGACTGCTCTGCGTTGTCTTTCCTCGCCTTTGAATGTTAATTTGGCATCTTTACAATCATTACACGGGTTTGAAATTCTACTGAAAACTATTGCTCATCTTTTTTTTTTTTTCCTTTTTTTTTTTTCCTTTCCCATTTTCAGCCACCCCTTTGCAGTGAAGTTATTTACCCTTAGTAAAGAAGAGATCAAAAGATCCAAAGACATCCGGAAGCTTCGCTCCAGCATAGGAGTGTGAGTTGATGAAATAATCTTTTCTGTGCTCACAAAGTGACGAAAATTGACGTCCCGTCCCCACCGGCTCTAACAGCCAGGTTTAGTTCGTGGGAAATTTAAATGGAAAGTGCACACAAATACATGTAATAGTAGGTGTGAGTTTCGTGTACTTCTGGGTGGTTGGGGTGAAACCTATGGAGGGTCTGATAAAACTTAACTGCTTTTAAGATGCGGTTGATATTCTTAAAGATGCCGTGAATCATTTGCTTTTTGCCTGTAGAGAGCTTGACGCGGTGCCAATGCAAAATACATATAATTGATTAGATCTTACATGTGCGCTAGAAAGAGCAGAAAACATCTGCAAAATTACTGCCTGGCTTCAGGGTTAAAGCCCTCAGCTCAGATGGCAGAGAAGGTGAAACAAAAATGCACCAGTCAGGAAAGACAGCACTGGGTGAGGAGAGGAGGGGAAAAAACAAAGCCAAAGCATCGCCAAGCTGAACAAAGGTTCGTTGGCAGAAACGCGGCAAAATTACTGAGGTGTAACAACGCCAAGCAGTGATTTTATTGACCTTCATTTCTTTATTGGTAGTTTTTTAAGACTGCAAGAAGGCCTAAAATGAGGCGTAGCCCCCGTGTCTCGTCCGTTTCTCCCGCGACGCAGCACACCGCAGCCTGCCCTGTGCTTCTGTCTGCGCCAGAGCTCGAGGCACACGTGGGTTTTGGCGCAGACCTCGGCGCTGCTGGTCAGCAGCCTTGAAACCATGTTTGTACTTGGCACAGACGTGTGGCATCTCAGTAACCCCTCAGGATTTCGGTACACTTACCCTCAGTGTTTGCTTTCCCACAGCACTTCGAACTGAGATTTCCTGGGGGCAGTGAAGCTTCCCCTCCCGCCCTGTTTTCTGATAAACATCTTCGTTCTGATCCTCAAAATGTACCTTGGCAATTACAACACCAGATCTGGTTTTTCTCTTGTTTTCTAGGTTTTGTGGCCTGATTCAATTTCAAGGAGACATGAGAGAGAACGTTTTATTTCAGCTGTTTCTCCTTCTTTGCCATCCGTTTCCTGTAGTAAGTACTGAAGACGTGGCATGTTATCACATGTATTCTTGAAAATACTTCACAAGTAAAAAATAAGTTAAAGCGAATCACAGCAGCGTTCTTTTTAACAGACAGTCATGTATATAATAGGCTTTATTTCTCAAGGGTCTGCTGTCTGCACTGCTGCCACCTGAAACAGGCTAGTGGAAACCTGCAGCGTACCTGGCTGTTCCACCTTCTGTCCTTACTGTTTTAAATTAGAAGCAATTTAGGTGCCTCAGTCAGTCATTCCTTTTACGCAGCACCCAGCACAGTGAAGATCTGTTCACCATTTGGTGCTTGAAAGCTCCAATCAGATAAATTACCGTTAGTTTTGCAATATTTCTGAGAGCAGCGGCACAGCAGTAGTTCTGGTCCAAGAAAAAAGTATTTGTTCTTTTTGTCAGGAGTGACAGAAGCTTGTGCAACACAGGAGAGTTTATCGGAGGTTTACCTTTTCATGTAGCTGACTGAAGCAGGGCGCAAAACCTGCCTTATTAGTCAGGATGTACAAGAGATGTGGGGTAATATTGTTAGTCCTTCAAGATTTTTGTGGACTTTGGTTCTTGAGCACTGGGCTGTGCGAGGCCTGGCAGCCCCGACTCGGGGCTGCTGTGACAGCCAAACGCGTACACCCGCTCGCTGCGGCTGTGGTGGGCAAGGGTTTCACCTGGGAGCGTTTGTGGATGTTCCTGTGCGTGAGGACTCGCAGGCAGCCGCTCAGCCGCATCCACAGCGCAGGAGAGACTGTCGGGGGGAACTGCGAGGGAACGTACAAACCCGTGAGGTCTTAAAGTGCTCTGAGGACCCGCTGAACAGCCGGTGGCTGGCCAGTGCCAACCAACGTGGCGTGTTCTGACATTGATTGCTTTTTGATAAGGTTGAAATCATATGGTACTCAGCAAAGTTTGATACTTCAGATTTTTATTGCAGCTGTTCCCCCGTTGCGTGTACTTGCTACATGAAGAATCCTTCGCAGGAAGGGCACAATGTAAGAGCTCAGGAGAGATCATTTCAATTTCATGTTTCATTAGTATTTTACATCATAAATATGTTGTGTTTTTACAGATGGGTGAATTTAATTTGGCACTACTCCTCCAGAAACAGCCTTGTGATTTCTTTGCCTTCCTTCTGTTATCATCAGGATTTCTTGGGGAAAAAAAAAACCACAGCAGAATGATTTTGTTGCGATTTTGCTCTCTTCCATTTTGTGTTTTTCTGTGTGTTGTACTTCAGAAACCAGCCTGTCTCGCTTTTTCTGTATTCACACCAGCCTCACTACTGAACAGTGCTCTGGGAAAACACTTGCAAATTAACTGCTTCCGGAAGCTGGAGTGTAAAAAGCTGGTGTTACTGACATCATCATCTCTCTCCCAACAGTTTTTTGAAGCGTTCTGCTCACTCTTACACTCTCCAGACTGGGAAATCTGTTTTGTGAGCCTACAGCTCAAAGTTAGAGCCAGACTTTGGCTCAGTGAGTCATTTCAGGAAAAGAAACGTTCCAGTTGGGCCAGTCTCAAACACTGGAATTAATTCCCTGTGAGGGCCAGAGCTGTAAGGTGTAGCCTTCTTAGTCGGAAATCCTGCAAAAATTAGTGGCAATACACCCATCGTAGTAGTGCGAGGTTCCTGGAGGGGCAGAGAAGTCCCTTCCTGCAGCAAATTGCTGTCAGTGGCAAGAACGGGCTGTAGTTCTGGGTATGACACAGTAAAACGACTGTCAGGATGAGAACCAGTACCAGTAACGGCACTGGGCCTGTCCGTACGGGGCTCAGGATGGTTTGCTAAAGCTTCCTCTGCCTCTTCCCCGTAGATACGGAAGACGACAGCCAGTCAAGTTTACGAAATGCTGATAACCTACAGTGACGTGGCGGATCCTGCCATCGTGGATGAGGTTATGACCATACTCAGCGACACCAACTGGTAAGTGAATTTGTGGCTGGAGAGCAGGAAAAACCGAAATCATTTCTGTACCACGGGAGTTAAAAAGAAGCTGATCCCCTGGAGCGCCGACGGCAAGGAGGCTGTAAGGAGCCGTGCTGTAGTTTTAGCTATTTATTGTGTCTAGGCCAGAAAAGCACTGCTGAAAAGAATTCTTCTGTTCCAAAGAACCGCTTACTGTACTGTCCCACTGGAAGTGGCAGGTATAAAATCACCACTAGATAAAGTAAAATATCCGTATTTTTCGAACAATGTGAAAAGGGAGGAGATGTTGGAAATGTTCCATGAAACAGAGAGCGACTGGGCTGTGCAAACAGTCAAACTTCAACTGCACAGACAGTTTCTTGGCATTTGTGAGCACTGGCAGGATTTTGGGAAAGGAAGGATCTCTGCAAGCTGGAAAACAACAGAATTAGCAGAACAGCTCAAATCTCCCATGAAATGTAATTACTCAAAACGCTACAAATGTTGTTTTCAAGCAAATATTTTGAATTGGAACACTTTACACGTTTCCCAAGCATATATTGCATGAATTAAGCAACCACTTTTATAGAACATAATTCCTTTTCTTAGCTACTGTTACCTGTATCGTGAGCTTATCCAAGGGCGGGGCAGTCGGGTCCTGGTCTTCATGAGCAAGAGGCACCAAAGCAGCAAGGTGTCTTTCGGGGGCAGGGGCTCTCCTGCTGCCAGCACCTTCGAAGGGACAGGAGGGGGCAATACTCACCAGAAGTTTGACACTGTTTTTTTTTTCCCTTTCTGCAAATTTTAGCGTTGTGCATTATAGTCACCTGGAAAAGGTTACAAAAGACTGCATGCCTTGGATGTCTGAGGAAATACGGAGTTTTAAGATACTAATTAGTTTATTAGTTCTGCTGCCATGTTAAACATTTTTCCTTGTTACAGACGACTCTCCTGGGTCCTGCAGCCCAACACCCTGCCTCAACAGTAGTCAGAGTTGAGTTAATACATGAGACCAGAGAGACATAAAAAAATATGTAATTTATTTAGGCATTATATTAAATGGCTTTTTGTCTTCATTGACATTTCACGGACATAAAATTAACCTAGACACGTTCAAAGAACAAATATACCTTAAGGTAGTGGGTTACATATTTTCAGACTGCATGCTTACATTATTTAACTTTTACTTACTTTCTAGCTTATTTCTATGCTTGAGCTTAAATAACTTTATATTTGGGAAAAGAAAGCTAAGTTTGTCATTGTAAGGGATGGCTGCTGCTTTTTCTTTTCCTGAATTTTCCAGGACAAAACTAGAGTAACGGTCTCAGATTTGAAGAACTGGTTATTAACAGTTCTGCCTGTTGTTAAAAATACTTTAACTGCATATTGATGTTCAGTGTCATGGTTGGTGTGATTCAGTGCTCGCTTATGAAATCTGGATTTAAGAGCAGGCTTTGTTAACAGAACCAGTCGGGTAGGATGAGATTTCTGCTGTCACAAAGGGTGTTTACAGGACATGTAAGTGCCCAAAGTGGCACGCACCAAATGGCTGCAGAAAAAGCAGTGGTAGTACAGCTCTGCTCATAAATGGGTCACTAAACCACAGCAAAATTCTTCCAAAAACCACTTCAGAAAACTAAATATTCTGTTTTCACCATGTCATTTAAGGTGTGGCTGGCTGCCTGTTTATTCTGTCTTAGCTCAGGGCCTGCTCAAAGTTGCCCGCTGCAGCACGTCCACTGCACTAAGAGTAAAGATGAAGAGTGAGTTTACTTAAGACTTAATGGTTTTATCTTGGTAGATTTGAACTGTTTACAAAAGAAGATATCTGAAGTCATTACTGAGTGTCAGAGCGAGCTGCTTGTTATTCTCAAGCTCTCTCAGTGCTAAAACAATCACAGTAAATTTGGAATTACAATAAGCATTAACATCGGGAAGCCCAATGAGAATTAATACTTGGGGAAGATGATAATTACTGGCATACGCGTTGTTGGAACTACAGAGAGTTTATCATACAGTTGTGTAATTCAGAGTTAAGCAAATTATTCTATCAATAATAAATTTGGTTTCGCTACAGGAAGGTTTCCACTATTAAATATTACAAACTGTCCAAGGTGTCCCAAAAAAAAAAAGTCAGATTATTTCTGGCTTGCCCTTCATGCTTTGTCTCCATAGTTTTGGACTCTGTTTATGTGCTAAGAGTTAATTTTTTAATAGCTCATTTACAGTTGTTACTTAAGAAAACCCAAATCTGCCTGCTGAAATGGCAACACTAGCAGCCTCCCAGCATTCCGGTCAGAGGGGCAGGTTTTTACAACATGGAAAAGAACGGTGACTGTGCAGACGTTTGCATTTGGGGGATTTTGTAACTGACAGTTCTTGAGGAAATTCTCTCAGGGCCATCATGCTATTCCAGAAACTTTTTAACAGACTCACAAGGTTTAGGTTCGGTTTTCTTTCTGCTTCAGGAGAAAACTGCTTTAGATTGCAGCATGTTGTCCCAATCCAGTGACATTTATTTTAATTCTTGACGTGAAGCCCTCTTTGGCAAAAAGGAGCTGTAACTTTAGAGAATTAGTGACCTTGTAGCCAAAAGGGTTGTATGACTAAGTGTTATTTTTTTGGAATGCAAAAACCGCAAAGAACAGTCATGGACATTTTACTAGTTAACTGGTCACTTCTGGAAGACCTGCTGTCTATTTATGGTTTATCTGGCTTAAGATGGTACAAAAACGTTGCATTATTCTTAAAATGTGACACCACAAAACCAATTTGAAATGTACATGAAAGAACAGATGCATGCACATGAATATAGATAGCTTAACAAGTTGTATGTATGTAGCCAACTGCAGGTTTTTATCTTTGAATTAACTGGAAAATACTTCCTCATGCAGGGAAGCGGAGCTGCCAGTAGTAAGGGAGAAACGCAACTGTCTCTGTGATCTCATGAAAGTGCCCAGACCGCAGCTGGTATCCAAGGTAAAGTTCGGGAACGGGCTCCTGAGGGGTTTTTTCGAAGCAGCTTAGTAACAATCAATTGTTCCACCAACTCTGCGGTGTACTTCTGCGCAACAGGTGCAGCTCTTCACTGGTTCGTGAATGTATCAGGGTGCACCAGGAAGAAAGTCCTCACAGCTTACTCCACAGTATACAGCGTTGCTGAAGACTCTTGTCTTAAGCCCGTGCAGTCTCGTTTCTTGTCAACGTTCCAGCCCTGTAGTGTGACATTTTACTCGGACAAAACGCAAGAATGAAATAATGCAGTACAGATGGTTCAAAAACTGTTCATCTGCCCTTTCTGGGGAAAGAAAAAAGGACTTCCCAGTCAATTTAAACAGCGAAATTATAACATGAGATGCTGTGCAAACCACAGCATTCTACCACTGCCTTACAGGAAGAATATAATCGTGATAGTTAATACATTCATAGGAAGACAGACAATCTATCCAGAGGAAGGTCCCATTTCATTTTAATGCTGATAGTTTGGAACCGCCCATCCGCTCGGTATTTCAGAAGTACAGAATTTTCTGGTTTCGTAAGGCTTTCTGAGAGGTTCCCGGCCTCTCTGCCCAAAGCTGAGGAGGCTGAATCGTTACTGGTTGAGAGAACATGTGTTAACATGCCAGTTTACAAAGAAAAATTATTTTTACTTTGAGTAATGCAAGACAAGGTGAAAACGCTTGGTGACCCAAGGTACTTCCCTCCTATCAATCACAGAATCTCTCCCATAAACTGACTGAGCTTAAAAATAGTGGTGTGTCAATTTATTCTTGGCCTTTGTAATTTTTATTGTTCTGCTTTCATAGTTCTGGAAAGCTTTGTCTTTGTAACTATGTTAAATTCAGAGACCTCACCCGTGCAGGTTTTCCTGAGGGTGGAGCTTCGTTCCCTTCATCCTCTAAAATATTTGAACACCATTAAGTTTATTTTCGTGACTAGAACTATGCAAAGCATTATTTGCTGCCCTGCACAGTTCCACTTGAGCTTTGCCTTAGCCCTTCTCCCAGCTGCAGCTGAAAGGCACCAGGTCTTTCCTCCTGCACAGCACCTCAAGGTGACCCGAGCCAGCGGAGCTTCTAAAGCACGTGTTGAACTGGCTCGTCGTGGTGTTACATTATGGGAGTCTGACATCAGCCAGGTCTTCCCCGGTAATGTTCTGGTAACCTTTTACACTGAAGAGGCTTCCTAGTGTAAGTAGATCCTATGCTTTGAGTTGTCATTGACAGAAAAGTCATACATATTATTAAAAAAAAGTGTATTTAAAAAACTAGTCAGAAGACTAATACTTGAGACATCTATGAATAACCTTCAGCGACTCCTCAGCAGTTTTCTTTGCTCATCTTCCTGTTCTGACCACATCATGGCTACAGCTCTCTGCTTTTAGTATAATTTTAGAAGAAACCTGCATCTTTCTGTAACTTCAGAAAACAAGCATCTGAACCTCTTGCCCACTCAAGGCATTGCTTTTAGAGCCAACGTTGACCTGAGCATTGCTGTTTCAAGGTTTTTCTAGTCAACTAATAGAAATGCTGCGTTCAAAATGAAGATGTTACAAGGTGAATTCACTGGTCTCAAAAAAACTTATTTCAAGTCCTTAATTATCGGAGGCTGCGAGAAGCCTGACAAGTTAGGAGATACAAACAAGAGAATAAGAAATAGCCAAACACACGTAGAGGTATTTCAGCTGGATCTGTTACAAACAGTGCCCTGTGAATCTGGGAGTTACGTGCTGCGTTTGGAACTTCACCTTTTCTTCCTTTTTTAACATAAGCAAATAGTCAGTGTAACTTCTAGCAAAAAGTTACACCTGCACCTGCCCTGAGAGCTGCTGGAGTTCACTCGGAGAGTGATTCTCACTGAACTTGAAGGCCTTTTCACAGCTGTCCAGATGTCCCTACTATAGGCAGCCCGTTCATGCGCGCAACACTCTGCTCTTCTTCATGGGCTCACGTGTCCTGAGAACAGAAGAGAAGCAATAGAGGAAGCCAAGCATAACGTTATGAAAAGGTGAAGGAAGTGAATTTCAGCCGCAATCAACACTTACCATTCCTTTAAAACTTGGACAAATAAAATTTGCTAAAGGGTAGTTAAAAATTAAGGTGTTAAAAACGACTGTAAATATTATAGCTTCCTATGTCTGTATTTTCTTCTCCATTTAGTTCACTTAATTACACGATGGGGATACTGTTAAAATAGCGATACGTGCCACTCCCTGTGACCGCTTTTTTCCTTTCTTGCAGAGCTCAGCGTAATGAAGCTGCAGGCGCTGCTGGTTTGTGAACTGAAGCTCTGGCTTCAGGTGCCGTGAGGACTGAAGAGTTTGTGCTGCGGCGTCCTGACAAAGGGGATGCTCAGCACACGCTGCGAGGTGCACTGCTTTGCAGAATCAGAGGCAGAGGTGATGGCTTAAAGCGTTGTGCAGATGCCACAGGAACGCAACAAAGATTCAAAGATTTTTCTGTTTATAAAGTCGTTATCTGTAGCCAGGACATGGCGGTTTCTCTTCATGCTTCTGTCACATTTGACCTGGGTTTTGTTGGTGTCGGTGATTTATACTTCTGCAGCTCTGAATGGAGCCATCCAGCCTGTGCTTGCTGTACACCCATGAAGTATTAAACCAGACTTGCTGCCTTAGGCTCTCAAAAATTGTTTTGCAGAGGTAAGAATGGCAACACTTAGTGATAATAATGAAATCTTCCTGAACATGGAAGTTTCTCTAAGTCTGTCATTCTTATGTCATAGTCGAACAAAAAATCCAGGTTTCACTTCAGCTAAAGTCAAAGCCTCTCTTCATAGCTCTGTATAGAACTAATTCAAGCAAATGTTTTTTGTGGTAAACTAGCTTTTAGGGACTGAAGCTTTTTTTTGTTTTCCCTTGAAGAACAGAGGTGAATCAGCTCTTCAAGCAGCTGTTAGGAATCTGGACCATTTCTTATTGACCATAAAATGAAACTGCTTATCTTTAGTAAGACTAATGTGATGGGGAGGACGAACTGGACCATTTCTTATTGACCATAAAATGAAACGGCTTATATTTGTAAGACTAATGTGATGGGGAGGACAAATGCAGAGGCAACATGCTGTTCTAATTACCCTGTGTTATTTGATGGTTCTAATTAAATCCCACTATCCTGCACTTCAAGCACAACAGTGGCTGTGTGTGAGCATATATATATATATATATATACACACCCCTCTACAAAAATCTGAGAAGAAGGGAAAAATCAGGCACAGGAGCTAAAAACAAGCCCATTTCTCTGTGAAGTACCTTCTAGAAACTGCAGCAATCTGCTCTGCAGGTGTTCATTTCAACTCGTCTGTCTCCAAGATTCTTTCTTCTTTTTAAGACGATGACTATAAATTCTATTCAATACTTCTTCACTACACTGCAGCCTGGGCTGGCAGATGAAGTTCAGCGTGGCTCAGTGTCGCTCACTGACTGCTAAACAAACAGCGCTCAAGTCACAGGCCGTGCCACAGATGGAGTTGGCCGCGCGGCTGCACGCACCTCGGGCTGCTTACAGGCATGACAGCAGAAGATATAGTCCCGAGTCCACAGCCCCTGTACACTGTCATTACATGGAAGGTTCTAGGACATTCTTGAAAGATCTGGGTTTTGCCAAGTTATACCTATAGGTCCCCACTGCAAGTAAAACATGAGTTGCGTTGTCAACGCCTTCTTATTCATAAAAAACCCTGAGCAGGTCCCGTGAAAATTGTGGGCATCTGCACCCCTGATCATCTGGCTGCCAGACGGTGCTACAGACCCAACCGTACTTGTCACACAGCCCCGACTCGGAGGACGCCCTGAGCCGCTCGCAGGGAATGGCCGCGGGCCCCGAGCCACGTCGGACGGAAATGGCTCTTTACACGGGCAGTGGTTGGAGGCTTTGCTTGAGGCACTGTCAAGGCTTCCCTGTGGTGACAGCCCTCGTGCAGTCTTACGGCCTGTACTTGATGGTTGTGTACATTAGAAACGATTTAACAATCAAACTGAGTTTGGTAAACAAGTGATGTGCCATAGTAAAATGAGCCAATAGCAGCATCCGTGGTGTAACGCGGACCTCCCTCAGAAAGGGGTTACTCAGCACCGACAGTAATTTAATGAAGCACAAGTTACTACAAAATTCAAAACCTCTGACTGCTTTGGTCTCCCTGCACACAGGTGCATAGAGGGTAACACAGCCTCCATATCGCTGCCTCACCGTGGGTTTTAGTTAAAGTGATAATAATCCATCCCCTCCTTCAAGTTGAGCGTGTTCAGGTTTGTTTCAAATGCTCCACCTGTCAAATCCTGAGAGGGAAGAGAAGAGAATTAGATCACCCAAACTTGTTGCAGGTTGTAACAGGTTTTGGTAATTTGGTTCTTCAGACCACAGAAGAAAGTCCCAGTTGCAGAACTAAACATAAACAAACCAAGGCTCAGAAATTTCCATTGAAAAATTAAGTGTACGTTCAA